TAAATCATCATCTATCTCCTTTTTAAGTACTTATAATTATAATAAAATGGGACATTATTACATGCACATTCTTTTCTTTTTAAAATAAACAAAAATAAATAATAATGAAAAAAAAAAGAGCGAGGAAAATATCAAGCGATAGGGATCATGTTAAATTTCCCCATCAGCGTCGGGCATCAATTAAACAATGGACGGCCTTTGTGTAGTTAGCCATAATCTGCAAAATCGGGCGGCCGACATCTTTCTAAATCGGGCAGCTTATTTTCTATCCTCTATTCTCGCCCACACAATACCATTACCAGGTCCTTCTCGTCCTGGGTTCATGGACCAGAGCACACGCGTTGAGTCCAGATTGATCCGAGCTGGGACAGCTGGGCCGACGTCACTGGGGGACAGCTGGGCCGACGTCACAAGGCCCCTATGTGACGTGGTGGGGCCGCTGCATCTAGAAAGTGTGAGAGAGCGTGGCCGGCAAGCGCTCAAAAAGAGGCTTTCCATGTTACACGCCGTTTTTACAATTCTAGCCTTATTGTATTTTCTGAAAAAAAAAAAAGGAAACAACAAGAAGTGTGTTTTCCTTACCGGTTTTTCTTTCCTTCTATTGTGAAGTTAGAATTAAAATTTAGAAGTAGAATTTTAAACGAATTAAATATTTTATCATGTATGAATGAAATATGCTGACATTTGATTTGGTAATTTTTTAGAATCGAACTACTAGAGAATAAAATTTACAACTAAGATATTTGATCTGAATAATATTTGAAGCTTCGATTCACGTTTATGTTTTTATGTAATTTATAATACTATTTATAAAAATCATTCTTAAAAATTATAGTTATTATTGACCGTATGTCTATGCATTACTCTAGTTCCAATTTTTATTATTTTTTAAATAGTTATAGCCAAATTTAAATACAAAATATTGAAAAGATACCAATATATTCAAGTATCATCAACAAATCGAATTTCGAACTCATATCTACTTTCGAATTTGAAACCAATTTGACTTGGCATATTACTTGAACTGATCATTTGTGAACTCGACTCGATCCACTTGACTCGTTAAGGCTTGAATTCATATTAATTTAAAGCTTTTTATGACTTGAAAATATAGTTTTATATAATTTTCTATAATCTAGTTTGTTAGAGCTCGAATCTGACTAGTTAATATTGATAATTGAGTTGTTCTTGAACTTGTTTAGTCAATGGGCCGAACTCAATTCGATAACAGCTTGATAAAGGCTCGAGTTCAATCGAGCTTGATTCGATGCGTTTCGTTTATACTTCTAGATGGTAAGCAAATATCACGAAAATGTTATTTTAAAAAAAAATAGAAAACAATTGTTTACAATAATCTGAAAATATAACATTTTGAGATTATATATATATATATATATATATATATATATATATATAGGGATTGGTTCAAATGCATCCGTTTATTTAAAGTGAGGACGTGAGACTCATTCCTAACCACAAGATTTAGATCTTGACTTAATTAGCAGTTCTTTATTTTTATTATTTAATTTATTATTTTTAATTATTTAAATATTATTATGACCATTAACCGTTGACTCCGACATTGACCGTTGACTTTCAGCGTTGACTTCCGACGAAAATCGTTGACTTCCGGCGTTGACCGTTGACCATTTGTCTTTTGTTGTTATGTTATTTCTTTCTTGCTAGGTTAGTTGTGTTATGTTGCTACGTTAGTTGTTTGTTGTTGCTAGATTTTTTT